GAGAGAAGAAACTTTTTCGGCTTGTCTATTTGTTGCTAGCAACCCACTGAAGAGATCTTTTCCTTATCCAAGTGGCTGCACAGTTGTTGCAACATATTTGACTCATGAGCTCAACCATACCACTAGTTATGTTAGATAGGCAGTATTGCTATTGTTAGCAGGCAGCAAGGAGATTCTCAGTATGTTAAGAGAGTAACTGCTCTGTTAGTCCTACTAAATACAGCTGTAAAACCTGGACAGAATGCCTGGGACAGCTATTTGAGGACCCTGAAAAGTACATAGTAGCAAACAGAATGGAGAAGACGACTAGAACTCAAAAGTACTAAGCTGGAGTCATGGTTCAAGCCTGCCTAGTAAGAGTGAAGCCCTGATTTCAAACCCCAGTCCAGCCAAAGAACTAACAAACCAGCAGGCAGTGAGTTTGCTGGGTTTTTTCCTGTTATTCCCAGCCTAAACACAACACAGCTCAAGCTGTAAATGGAAATAGGCATTAGGGCACAGAAAGGGCACCCAAAGGAGCCCCTTGTTTTGTCTCAAGGGACAGTTAAGAATACGAAAAGCCCTGTTTTCATTCTTTGTCTTTCTCCATGCTCATGCACTCCAGCCTCCTATCAACCCTGTGGTAGTGGCAGAGTCAAAATTCTGTGGGAGGAAAACCTTTTTCTCTGATTGGTGAAGTTGTGGAACTACCCTCTATGCACTTTCTCTGTGTGTCCTGTGGCTGGACTCTGAACAGTGGCAGAATGTAAGCCAGAATGGGATAATCAGAACCCAAGCTTTCTGAGTGAAGGACCAGAAGAAAAGCACCAAGAAACTAGAAAATACCAGGAAGATTGCAAAGAGGGAAGAGCTTAGGAAAGAGTCATGAAGTCATGACTTTCTGAGGCCCAAACTATATGCACTTGGATCTGTTCCTAAACAGCATAAGAAAGGCTCTTGAGAACTGAACAAATAGAACAGCCACAATCCAAGTCACACAGACTGGCCACACAGTGGCACACATGTGGGAAGATAAAACTAGCATTGCAAGAGGCTTTGAAAACTGAATTGATATTGGAACCACAACTCACAGAAAATAGGTTGATTGCAGCTGCTAGCCTAAATCTAACTAGGTCAGTTACCTGTTAAAGCAAAAGTTTTAACATTCATGCAGTTTAAACAAGGTCAGTGTCATACATAATATTCAGAATAGATAGAGTATAAAATTATTTGGCATATGAAGAACTTGGAAACTCAATTCTTACAAGAAAGGACAGCAGACAGCGGTGCTGAGAATACACAGATGTTGCAACATCTGAGGAAGACTAAAACATCTATTGTAAAAATTCCTCAGCAGGTAATTATAATTCTTGAAACCAGTAGAAAAATAAAGTTTAGCAAAGAAGATCCAAATAGCAAGATTAGAACAAAAAAGTAGAGTAACCAAATTAAAAACTCACTGTGAGCTCAATTTTAAAATGGAGTTGTCAGAGGAAAGAGGCAGTGAACGTGAAGATAGAACAATAAACATTATTTAATCTGAACCATGGTGGGTGGCGTGAGAAGAGGAGCCTGTGGAACTGAAAAGATATTAGGAGAGAGAATTGCTGGTCTCCCCAAGTTTGGCAAAAGATGTAAATGATTCAAGCAACTCAGTGAACACAGAGAATAAATCAAAAACCCAGACACATCACAAGCACATTGTGAAAACTGAAGACAAATTAAAAAGGAAAGCATCCAGAGAAAAACACACTACATGTTGGGAAACAGAGTGACTGGGCTTCTCAAAGGGTGTTATAGTATTACTATATAGAGTAAAAGGAGAGAAAATACACCTTGTAATTACAGTCAAAAGAAAGCTAGAGCATGGCTGGAGGCGTGGCTCAAGTAAGGCCCTAGAGTTCAAACCCCAAACCATCAAAAAGGAAAGCTAGAGTGGCAGTATTATCAAAGTAGCCTTCAGAATAAGAAAGCATAATGATGAGAGGATCAGCTCACCAAGAATATGCTGTGTGACAGTGATAAATGTCATATTCCTAGCCACAAAGCTGCAAAATATGTTTAGCAAAATCTGACAGACTCACACCTGTAATCCTAGCTACTCGGGACAGAGATCAGGGGGATCACAGTTCAAAGCCAGCCCAGGCAAATAGTTCTCGAGACCCTATTTAAAAAAAAGAAAAACAAAAAAAAGCTGGTAGAATGGCTCAAGTTGTGGGCCCTGATTTCAATACCCAGCACTGCAAATACAAAAAAGTTTTTTTAAACTGACAGAACTGAAAGGAGAAATTGATATGCCCACCATTATAGTTGGAGACTTTAGAGACCCTTTAATAGACTATTTTAACTATTCTGTACAAATGGAAACTATTGCGCTCGGTTACACACCTTGTCCCATGCTGGCAGAGACCATTACAGCAAGCTCTGAGCCTCCGTATACCAGCCACCTGTCACACCAGGCTGAGTGGAAGTGTTCAAAAATACGGGTTACTGAGAAAGCAAGACTTGACATTCACACTACCAACTGAAAAGTTGTTCTCTGCAGCCCAGCCCCTCAGCAGAGGAGAGGGAGGAGTCCTAGCCCTTTGGCTACAGTCCTGTACCCTCCAATAGCAGCATGTGGTCTGCATGTTATAAGAGCAAGCTCCCACCCTCAGAAGCAACAACTGGCGGCACAGTGACCTTTTTCTAAACAATCAATAGATCCTTTAAACAGAAAATCAGCAAGGACGCAGAACTCCTGCCACCACCAACCAGCCAGGTTGTATAATAGACATTTGTAGACCATTCTATTCAACAACAGCAGAACACATGCTCTTTTCAAGCATCTAAAGAACTACTATCAAGAAAACCTTATCCTGGCCACAAAACAAATCCCAACGAATTTAAAAGTATTGAAATCATGTAGAATGTTCTTACCACAAAGTAATCAAACAAAATCAGTTAACACAAAGATAACAAAACCTCCAAACACTTGGGAAATAGAAACTTAACATCCTTCTCAGTAATCATGGTTCAAGGGAACTGTTCTTTTCTATTTTCTTTGAATTTTAGAGAGATGTCAGGTTTTTTGTTTTGTTTGGGTTTTGGTTTTTTTTTTTTTTCTGTGTTAGCAATGAACCCAGGGCCTCTCACATGCTCATCAAGCACTCTACCACTAAGCTATACTCCCAGCCCCGCCAAGGGAAATTTTAAAAAATTCGTTGAAGTAAATGAAAATAAAATACCACATATCAAAGTGATACCAAAAGGGAAATTTATGACGTAAATGCATGCATTAGAAAAGAAGGATAGGGTATAGTGACTCACAACTGTAATCCCAGCTACTCAGAGGAGCAGTTACTGTACTTTGGTTTAACTAGATTGCCATGTTAACAAAAAGTAGCTAATTTTGCTATTAGAAAGACATGATTCCTGTCTCCTACACCAGTTTCCTCCATGCTTCAGCACTGAGACCACAAATGGCCTGAAGGGGGGAAAGGGGGGAGAAATGATCCAAACATTGTATGCACATATGAATAAAAGAAGAAAGAAGAAAAGAAAAAAAAAACTAAGGGAGCCAAGAAAGCACATAGGAACCCCATGCTGTTGAAGTTGAGCTTCGCTCCTGTGACATTTTCCTCAGGTGGCTGTAATTTCCTCATATTTCTGGTGTTCGATCTACTCAGGAATTTGGTGGTTTTTAGTTCTGGATGCACAAGGACTGTGAATATACATTCTAAGTGGGGATGTGTAGCCATCAACAGTAAGTGTTTGTTAGCGCCAACTTGCAGTCTCTTTTGGCTGGTGCTACACCAGGTTGAACTTTAAATAGCACTATTTTTGATAATGCCATTCTAATTTTAGTTGAAAGTATAGCTCAGGTATCATTCCAAGCTTATTTCTTAAAAATGTCTAGCTAGAAAGTGTTCACTGATACCTTAAGCAACAGTGTCCTGTCCCTATTTGTAAGCATTTACTATGTTCAGGGCACTGTCATCAGGACTACTTTTTATTTACTTTCTTTGCATCTTCTCAAACCCCCATGATTGCATTGTAACCTCTGGGATTAAAGAAACTGGGCTTACTTTAGATAACTTGAGCAAGATGTCAACAGTGGTATTGCTGGAGTTTGTGACCAAAAACTCCAGAACCAAAATTGCTGTATAAACAGTGTGTTTCCCTGTGTGAGCAAGCACATCTGTTTGATTCAGTCTTGTGCCCCCAGTTGCATCCTAATTGCTAAAGAAAACAATTCCCTTAACTTTATTTAGGTCTCTTTTCAATACCAGTATCAGAGAATGGCAGTATCATTTCCGGTGGTTTTTTGTTTTGGTGGGACTGGGGTTTAAACTCAGGACTTATTACTTGCAAAGCAGATAGTGCACTGCTTGAGCCACACCTCCAGTCCATTTTGCTTAGTTTTTGGAGATAGGCTCTTGTAAACTATTTGCCCGGATCTCTGCTTCCCAAGTAGTTAGGATTACAGGTATGAGCCACTGGCACCTGGCTATTTCTAGTTCTTTATATGTAGGTCTATGTTTAATTTAAACAGTCTGCTCTTTCCTAAAAAACACAAAACTGTCTAGGGTATAGATTGTCCCTACCAGCTAGAAGAAATTACTTTTGTTAAATTTTGTTCTTTCTAAATGCCTTCAAGAAATCTGGAAACTAAAAGGTAATTTGGTTTTGGTGGTAATGGGGTTTGAACTCAGGGCCTCATATTTGTTAGGTAGGCACTTTACCACTTGAGCCACTCTCAAGGATAATTGTTTTTGTTATATCTGGAAACCTTGGTAATGGTAACAGAAGTCAAGGTTTGTTCTCTCCTTTTTTTTTTGGTTATTGTGATGGGTTTGCAAAGCAGGAGCTCTACCACTTGAGCCACGCAGTTCATTTTTCTGTTTATTTTATTGAAATCATGGCATTTTCCACAAAATCACAAATATGCTTTTTTATTTTAAATAATCAGCTTGTGTAACTTAATATGTTCTGTAAGGACCTTGCTGAAATCTAATTTCTTATCTACTCTTCATAGGAATATGTCAAAGGAATCTGTGAACCTGAGCTAGAAGAAAGAGAATGCTATCCCAAAGCCATGCACTGCATTTTTGTTGGAGCACAGAGCCTGTTTTTGAAGAGTTTGATTCAGGATACTTGTGCCGACCTCTGCGTTTTAGACACTGGTCTTCTTGGCATAAGAGGAAGTGCTGAGGCTGTGGTCATGGCCAGGAGTCACATCCAGCAATTTGTAAAGCTCTTTGAGAATAATGAAAACCTACCCAGCAGTCAGAAAGAATCAGAGGTGAAAAGGGAATTCAGACAATTTGTTGAAGCCCATGCAGACAATTATACAATGGATTTGTTGATTTTACCCACTTCCTTGAAGAAAGAACTTCTGACTCTCACACAAGGTGAAGAGAATCTATTTGAAACAGGAGATGATGATGTTACAGAGAGTAGAGATGTGCAACAATCAGAGTTTACACAGAATGCTGCCACAGGACTGAATATTCCTAGAGATGAAGTCTTGCGGGAAGATTCAAGAAACAGAGCTGGGTCTCCTGTTTCTGAGCTTACAAAACAAATGGACACAGTCTTTTCTAGTTCACCAGATGTGCTTTTTGTTCCAATAAATGGTGTAAGCCCAGATGAAGAGGAGCTGTCCAAAGACAGAATTTGTCACAAGAGGAGATTTTCTGATTCGGAGGAAAGGCATACGAAGAAACAGTTTTCTTTAGAAAATGTTCAAGAGGGAGAGCTTTTACATGATGGTAAGGCATCAGCTGGAAATGTAATCACTGATCTATCTGATTCTTCTACTGATTCTGAAAATGTAAGTCCAGATGTAAAAGACACTACTGAGGAAATGGAATACAACATCCTCGTAAATTTTTTTAAAACCATGGGCTATTCTCAAGAAATTGTTGAAAAGGTCATTAGAGAGTATGGGCCTTCTATTGAACCATTATTGCTGTTAGAGGAAATTGAAAAAGAAAATAAAAGGTTCCAAGAAGACAGACAATTTTCACCTGGTACTACATACCCAGACACCAACAAAACCAAAAGTAAAGGTCTTTGTAGCAGAGTAAATGAGCTTACAACAGATTCTACTCCAAAGAAAACACAGAATCACACACAGCAAAATGCAGTAGAAAAATTGTCTCAGTTACCATTCAAAGTAGACTCTAAACCATGTACCTCAAATTGCAAAATTAATACTTTGAGAACTGGGCCAATAGAACAGAAACATGAAGTCTGGGGTTCAAACCAGAACTACAGTTGTAACATAGACCTTGAAACCGATGGCCTTTCTCCATCTGTTGCCCCTTCAAGTCCCAAAGAAGTCAATTTTGTTTCAAGGGGAGCTTCAGGTCACCAGCAGAGAATTCCAGTTTTTTCCGAAAATGGTTTACAACAGCAAACAGATCCCTTGCTTCCAAATAATATGAAGTCTGCCTGTGAAAAACGTTCAGGATGCTGTAACTCTGCTCAGTCTAAGCCAAACTGTCCACCAATACCACTGCCCCAGCTGTTACCTTCAGTTAGTGATACAAGGTTTGCAGGACCTTCTGATCATATTGATTCCTCTGTTACGGGGGTTCAAAGGTTTCGAGATACTCTAAAAATACCATACAAGCTGGAATTAAAAAATGAACCAGGGAGAACAGATTTGAAGCATATTGTCATAGACGGGAGCAATGTTGCAATTACGTAAGTCTTCTCTGCACTTAATTTTATAGTTTTACATAGTACTGTAAGCTGTGTCTCAGAATTGAATGTGTGTGTATATAGGAACTACCCTGTCCATCGGTCTTGTTGATCTATATTTTTACCTAGGGTAGGGACAAGGTCATTGGCTAGAAAGGTTCTGTTGTTTAATGTTCTGGAGTTGGGAGTTTTTCTTCACCCTATTGAACATATATTCCTCTGGGCAAGAAATGGTACAAAATTTATCTTTTCATATCACATATTGCCCAATGATAAGCAGAACAGAATTTTAAGTTCTTAGGTTGTCAATACTGTGAGTACCGTTAGGTTCTGAATTGAAGAGTGGAACTTAGGGCAAAGAGATTCCTCCTGTGTTTTTATGCTGGAATATGTTTAAGTCTATAACCAAACTGTGCTGTAGTTAAGGTGTGCTTACATCCTTGTTACACTTCTGCTGATAGGGAGATGGTGATTTTCTAAGGAAATTAATTTGAGGTTCATTGTGGACCTTTGTTCTTGCTGGGTACCTGCAGTTCACTCTACTAATCCTAGCTACAAGAGGATCAGTTAGAGGCAAGCCTGGGCAAAAAGTTTTTGAGACTTCATCACAACAGAAAAAGCTAGGTGTTGTGGCATGCACCTGTCATCCCAGGTACTGCAGGGATGATAAATAACGATTGTAGTCTAGTTCTGCCAGCACAAAAAGTGAAACTCTCCAAAATGACCAGCGAACAAAGGCTGGAAGTATGGCTCAAGTAGCTGCCTAGCAAGCATGAAGCCCTGAGTTCAAACTCCAATACTACAAAAAAAAAAAAGTGGAACAATCATTTCTATTTAGCCTTAGAGTCCCTCTGAGAATTCTGATTTTATGCTGTGGTGTGGGATTGGGTTTCTTCTTTAAAGGTCAGTTTAGCATAGTGTCTAAGAGCGTGAACATCAGTCTCCACCCCACTGTGGACCAGCTGTTTGATTTCCAGCAGGTCACTTACCCCTTCTGAACTTCATTTGCTGAAATCTGTTGCCTTTCACCTCTCCTTTAGGATATCTTAATCATACCATTTCAACAAATGCAGGTTAAGTTTTCAAAATCAATCACCCCATTGTTAAAAACTTTAGACGAATTAAATTTAGCAGAATTAATTTGAGTAAAGACTGATTCATGAACCAGGCCACATTACAACCAGGAGAGGTTCAGAGAGCTTCTGCCTTTGCATATTTGGCATGGTGTGATGAGACACTTGCCTCATGTGGACATGGTCAGATCACTTGACCATTTGTGATTGGTTGAGACTCAACTATTGCAAATATGTACTCTTATAGTAGGTTGCAGTTTGCTTAAGATCTGTAAAGTTAGGTTACAATTCACTACATAGCGTTCGAGAACCAAAGACTGCTATGGGCAAATTAAATGCAACACCATTGATTTTTGCATAAGTCTAGCATATTGGGTAACCAACAATTCAAGATATAGGGCACCTGTACATGGAATGAAGGAGAAGTTATTAAATCTTAAAAATACATTTCCATTTCTGGCCAGGTGCCATTGGCTTATGCCTGTAATCCTAGCTACTCAGGAGTCAGGTCAGGAGGATCACAGTGTAAAGTCAGCCTAGGCAAATAGTTCATGAGACCCTACTTTAAAAATACCCAACACAAAAACAGGGCTGGTGGAGTGACTCAAGTGGTAGGGTGCTTGCTTACCTAACAAGCCTAAGGCCCTGAGTTCAACCCCCAGTACTGCAAAAAAAAAAAAAGAAAAAGAAAATTTTGAGTTGTTCAATGTTTGTATGACCTCTTTCCTAGGATTTCTAAAAGATGACCTAAATCAAGACTATCTACCTTTTTTTGGAGGTACTGGGTTTGAACTCAGGGCCTCATGATTGCTAGGCAGGCACTCAACCACTTGAGCCACTCCACCAGCCCTTTTTTTGTGTTGGGTATTTTTGAGATAGAGTCTTGCAAACTTCTTGCCCTGTCTGGCTTCAAATCTCAGTCTTCCTGATTTGTCTCCTGAGTAGCTAGGATTATAGGAATGAACCACCGGTGCCTGGCAAGAATACCTGCTTTGATTGAAAAATTAGCTGGGTGCCAGTGGCTCACACCTGTAATCCTAACTACTCAGGAGGATTGCAGTTCGAAGCCATCCCTGGCTAATAGTTCGCAAGACCCTGTCTTGAAAAAAACCATCACAAAAAAAGGGCTGGTGGAGTGGCTCAAGGTGTAGGCTCTGAGTTCAAGCCCCAGTACCACAAAAAAAGGAAAAGAAAAATAAATTTTTTTGTTTTGCAGTACTGGTGTTTAAACTCAAGGTCTCGCGCTTGCTAGATTGTTGGTATATCATTTGAGCCTTGCCTCTAGTCCATAATTTTATTATTGAAGCATATGCTTGTTTCTTTTTTATTTATTTATTTTTTTTGCAGTATTGGGGTTTGGACTCAGGGCCTCCAGCTTGCTAGGCAGGTGCTCTACCTTGAGCCACTCCCACTAATCTAGAAAGGGACCTGCTGACAGGCACACCTTCCCTGGCTGCACTTGACTGGGGATAGAGAGGAACCCACCCAAGACAGGCCTCTCTAATGATGGGACCATGCAAGGGGCTACAGGCAGGCAGGGTGTGTCTGCATTGGCAACTGTGTATCCAGGGACCCGCTCATCACTCCTGAGGAGGAGAAAGGTGGGGGAACGGAAGGCCCAGGCCATAACCACAGGACGCACCCTGTTCCAGCTCCACCTTCAGGCTCATTGGGCCTGCTTCTGCTCTGGAGAACTTGAAGAAAAATTAAAATTTAAGGCCCTGAGTAAACCACATCAACATCTGCGGGCCCAGAAGGTGTGGCAAAAGCCTCCTCACATTCATTTTTAAAATAAGTTATTGATGGTGTGTTTGTGTTTAGCTGTCTCAGAAGAAAAAGTGCCAGCATTTCAGATGTTAAAGTTTGAAGATGTAGTAAAAATAGGTAATATACTTGTAAATAATACTGTTTATTGTCATTTCACTATTTTTTTTGGCAGCTGTACTGGGGAAAACCCAGCAAATGACCCAAAGCTGCATAACAGTATCTAAGTGAAAATGTAAAATGCTATTTCAGTCACCGGTAGTACAAGTCTAGCACCAGTTCCTCATTGTTAGGAGTTCTTGAGCCAAGAGATGATATAAAATGTAGGTCATGATCATGAGTAATACTAATTCTCTTACAAAAACTTTTCTATATGTGGAAAGATTTCCCAAATTGATGTTCACAGAATAAGAATGCAAATTAACAGACTGAACAGTGATTTTTTTTTTTTTGGGGGGGAGGCAAGGTCCCCTAGTTTAACCAGGCTGATGGTGAACTTGAGCTCTTCTTGCCTCAACCTCTGAAGTGCTGGAGTTGCATACATGTGCCACCATATCCAGCGACCTATATTCTTCTTGAAAACTATTTTGGGAAGATTTGTGTTTTCTTTGAATTTACACGTTTCAGTTTCAGAACAGCATATTTACAAAAGGATGTGTTATCCTAGGATGACAAGGTTATGCCTAATTAAATGCAGATTGTTTTGAAATGGTCAGAAATTTAAATTAACCCTTTTTCTAGCAAAGAAACTGCTTAATAGAGTATAGGGCTTATTTTTGAGTTTGGGAAGTATTCTGGAACTAGATGTAAATGCTGGAACGCAGCATTATGAATGTATCAAATGCCATTGGATTGGTCACTTAATAATGATTCTATTATGTAAATTTCATCTCAGTAGACTTTAAAGTGTGTGGGGAATCAATCCTTACACTAAACTAGTTGCTTCTCTATTAAATGTGAATTTAGGTGAGATTAAGTTCCATGAGGGGGCTTATTTGCCTCTGTTTTCTCCATGGAACCACACCCAAAAGCTGTAGTCTCTGGCATATAGTAGGCATTCAGTAAAGATTTGTTGAATGAAAGAGTGGGATTTTTTTAAAAAATTATAACAGGATAAAGTGTAGACAAGGTGGCGGGGAGGAAGAGAAACAGGAAGAAACATTTCCTGTCCCCATACAGGAAATGGGAGCAAAGACTCCTAGGAGATACATATATATATATATAATCCTAGGATATTTTTTTTCTACTGGTTTTTTACCATCTATTTGTAACTTCGTGGTTTCCACTCTAATGATCAACTTAGATTAAATTTTAACTGAGGCCATGTATTTAATTAAATAAATATTTTGAATCTTCAAGCTGGAACACTTTTGGTTTCACATTAGCCAAGCACTGTGCCACTGAGCTTCATCCCAGCTCTGTATTTTTTTTTCCTGTATTTTATTTTTAAGAGTAATTATATCAATTTTGAGAGGCAAAAATTACATGTAACTGGCATAATATGAAATGACTTTAAAATCTTGTCCAGGGTAACACACAGAAGATTTGGGACCTCAGGAACCATACACCCCATTTCCTCTCACAGAAGTTGAGGTTGGAATTTTCAGACCTTGGCATCATTGGACACTCACATTGTGGGTTGCATAAGCTCTGTTGAGTAAACCTAACTCATTTGACCCAACTAGTTGGGGAAGTGGTTAAAAAGAAATTTGATCCTTAAGCAATAGCATCTGTTAGTGTGAACCTCACTACCCTAAGGCAACCCAGGACCACCCTTTCCCTGGATTTCTGCAAAGCCTTTGTTTATTTGGTCCAGCATGATTCCTGCAGCTCATACACACCTGTGAGAAACTCTGAAATAACCCTGCTTTAAGCTGCTGATTATGTATATCTTTACTTCATTTTCTCCGCCTTGTCACCATGAATGAGTCAAATGATGAGTCAGTGGAAATGGTTTGCGGTGTTTGGCTAGACATCACAGTGGTGGCTGAAACTCCGCATAAGAGCACCTGACTTGTCTGGGTTGGTAATTTTCCGAGTAGGTGAGGTTTGCCCCTTCACTTGCTAGAAATATGCATTCTAACCATTTTTCATGCTAGTCTTTCTAGCAGGTTCCATGGCTATTTTTATTAAGTGGAAGCTATAGAAGGCAGTCACTCTTTCCTGGGTAACTCAGAAAGGGCTTTCCACCGTTTCTCCACACTGCTCTATCTGGTTCTGACTGCTGTAAATTTTTATCGCCTATTGTCACCCATCTCTCCTCTGCTTTAGACATGCTTCCTTATAGTAGACTCCCTGCTATAATAGGAAAACAACCAGATGATATAATCTGTTTCCATTGATGAGGTATAGGAGTTCAAATCTCCCTTGAGAGTCCCCACCCCTGGCCTCCCAGGCCTTAGGAGCTAGCATTTAGAGATGCATCTGGAGCTGGAGCCTCAGAGCTTTGGCTTGCTCCAGAATGGAGAATGTACTTTGAGTATACGCTGTCTCTAGTTGATCTGGATTTACCTGTCACAGCTCTGAGGCAACTGATTGTAGAGACTGGAGATAGAGAGGATCACATACATTTCTGCCTAGTTGGGGTGTTGGACTTGGAAGTAGAGAGGGTTCTTAGTGGATTATCTGTAATATTTTGAGGACAATAATTTGGCTCCACTTCCATAAACCTCTAGGGTCTTGTGCATGCTAGGCACATGCTCTACCTTAACCCTTCATCTGGCTTTTTTTTTTTTTTTTTAAACCTGTAGTTTTATTTTCTAGGTAAGTCTGTTTTCAGACCACAATTTTGAGCTGATTTTACTCAGCTCTGGAGATTTTTCATAAAATGATGCAATCTTAGCATAGAGAACATAAGTTGAACAATGTAAGTTTAGACCTGATGTTTCTAGAAACTATTTGTTCCCTTCTAAGCTTGTGAGAGGCCCAGAGTAGCAGAATTTCTCTATTACAGCCCAGTTCTTGAGTGACCCACTAGAATGGAGCTGGTTATTCCCATCTCCATCCACTTTCAACTATTGTGTCAAAACAGAAGCGTTTAAAGAAATGAGGGGTTGGGGGGGCAGCTGAGCCTGTTGAATAACATGGAGCCCTTCTTAAGCCATTTTGATGCATTTCTCTCAAGGGTATCCTTTTGAGGACTAAACATATGTACCCCTTGGTTTTTCTAAGAAACAAGACTTTTGTATTTTCATGTTAGGGCTGGTTGGTATTAATTCCAGACCTGTCCTTGCTATTAAGCCATTAGTGATGGATGATTTATTCTTTTTTTTTTAAGCTTAAAAAAACAAAGAAAAGACTCCTGGTCTTTTTTCTAGTAACAAATGTCATGTTGCTACATCCTTGCCATATTTGAATATTTTTAGGTAAACAGTTCATTCTTTTATCACTTGCCAAGAATGAGTTTGTTTTCTTGTACATACATTTTCTGGGGTAAGAGTCTTATTTATGATTCCCTAGAAAAAGAGAGTAGACTTTAGCCTTTGAAAAGAGGAGATTGGGGAGGAGGCGAGAGGGCGAGGAAGAAAGGAAATAGAATGGAGGGAATGAGCATGCTCACCTTATGCTGTAGGCACACGGAATTATCACCATGAAGTCCCCTTGTGTTAATGTATGCTAATTAAAAAATAACATGCTAAAAGAAGCAACTCCCACGTCAGTGGAAAAAAAAAAGGACTAAATAGTCTGTGTAAGGGGGCTAGAGAGAAAGAGATTACCTGCCATTGGTCAGGAGACATTGTGCTTGTTTAAGGAGCTCTTCTTCACAAAGCAAAATGTAGGGAAAGCCAGAGCTAATGTGTAGGCAGTTTTTTTTTTTTTTTTTTTGAACAAGCAACTTTTTAAATCTTTTACCACCTTAGCTATTTGTATATCCAGTCCCTTCCTGCTTAGAATGGTTGATGAAGTTGAGGTGACAGCTCCACTGTGGGCTGGGAGTGATGAAGCCTGAGTCTATCCCAGCATATCCACCCTCTGGCTGTGCAATCTAGGCAGGTCACTGTCATTGTCTCCTCTCTCCAGGAACTTAAATTCCACACCATTTCTGTGATTCTGGTGCATAGTAGAGGATAGGGAGTTAAGAGGACAGGGGGTTCTGATGAGGGAGTCTTTCTCTAGCAATAGCTTCATGAAAAAAGGATGGGACATTTAAAGACTGGGCTAGTAAGGAAGGTGCAAGAGCATTGCAATAGAGAAAACAACAAAAGGAAACAGACTAGGAGGAATGGGATGGTAAGATCACCTTGTCAAAACCAAGAACAGGGGAAGGGGGAGAAATGACCCAAACATTCTATGCACATACGAATTAAAAAAAAAAAAAACAAGAGCATGTTGACGTACAGTGGGAGGTTCACCTTGGCCAAGTTCCTCTGAGCAATCAGGGTCCCTTGGACCTGAAAACCAAGCTACATGGGCTTTGTGTAAAAGGAAACACTTTTCTTTTATCTCCACTTAACTGCCTATGAGTAAAGTTTAAGTGGATTTCCTTTTTTCTTTTGAAATGTTACCAGATTTCTTTGAAGGTTTTTTGTTTTTTGCTTTTTCAGTACTGGGGCTTGAACTCAGGGCCTTCACCTTGAACCACTCCACCATCCTTTTTTTGTGAAGGGTATTTTTGAGATAGGGTCTCTAACTGTTTGCCCAGACTGGCTTCCAACCATGATCTTCCTGATCTCTGCCTCCTAAGTAGCTAGGATTACAGGCATGAACCACCGGTGCCCAGCTGAAGGTGTATATTTTGAGAGTCCTTTGTACCAGGGTCATCACACATGATCTAGCCACTGTCTGTTTTTGAAAATAATGGAATCCAGCCACACTAGCTTATTTACAGTTGTCTGTGGCTACTTTCACAGTTATGGCAAATTTGAGTGATAGGTCAGAGACCACATTGCCCTTTACAGAAAGTATGTTGACCTGTCTTACATTCAGTTTTTTGTTTATTTACCTTTCTCCCTGCTTTCTGCTTCCTTCAACAAAATCATCTTACATGGCTCTGGTTAATTTAATTGGAATCTTGCCCACACATTGTTTCCAGTAATCTGTAAACTGGGTTGTTTTGCAGCTCCCCAGAAAGGGAATGGAGCACTCCTGGACAGTGAAGCAGTAACTAACCAGATCATATCACTTGTCCCTTTACTCAGTCACAGACAGGCAAAAGGTACCACAGTTACTAAACTGTTTCAGTTTCAGAAACAAATTTCTTAAATTTAAGAAATTCTTGAGGTCAGTAATCAGAACTTTAAAATAGTATATTTTCCCCAACAGAGTGAACTCTTCAAAGAAAAACCTACAATAATAAACAAATACTACCATGATGCACACACTTCCTTCTACTAAAACAGCACACCCAATTAAATAAAAATAGAAGAAAGAAAACATAGATTCTGTTAAGAGATATAATTCTTGCAGTGGTTTCTATCTTGGCTTTACAAAGTATTAGACTGAGCAACTAAATGCCAAAAGATGAAAACATATTTCATGTATATGTTTTTCATGTATTTGTATATGGATTTTTACCTTTTTTTATGTTTTATAGTTTAACACTTTAAATATGTTTAAATCTGAAATTTTATTTTCTTATAGCCATGGTCTGAAAAAGTTCTTTTCTTGTCGTGGAATTGCAATCGCAGTTGAATATTTTTGGAAGCTTGGCAACAGAAATATCACTGTATTTGTTCCTCAGTGGAGAACAAGGCGTGATCCTAATGTCACAGGTGAGGCGGAGTGATTTTTCCAGATAGCTAATTAGATATTTAATGACTTGGCAACACCTTGATACTTAGAAGTCATGTGCCACGGGGCAGCAACTTTAACAACAGAATTGTAAATCTGTTCCATCTAGTAAAATATCAGTTGAACAGACTGTCACAAATAAAGAGTAGTAACTCAGGGAAGGATGGAAAGTTGACGTAATTACTAGGAAGTTATGTTAGAATTCATTGTATAACAAGAATTTTCTTCTGACTTTCTGAGAATTAAAATATGTCATTGGGCTGGGTTTTTGACTATTTAATAGTATTTTTTTAAATGCTCACTTGATAATGTCCCTCTTTTGGGCACTCTTGTCCTCCATTCTTTGTAATATATTGAAAAAGTGCTTGATAGTAGGATTCATCAACTATGGGTTTATGGTTTATTCTTAGAAGCAAATGAGTTGAACCTTTTTGTATTTAAAAAATAGCTAGTCATTTCCAGCATTGCATTTACCTTAGTATGGGTCTTCCTTGATTTTTTTTTGTTTGTTTGTTTTGTTGTTTGTTTTTCTTCCCAGTTAGTAAAAATGAGTTAATAGATGAGAGGTTTTCTTTTTTTTTTTTTTTTTTTTTATTATTCATATGTGCATACAAGGCTTGGGTCATTTCTCCCCCCTGCCCCCACCCCCTCCCTTACCACCCAATGAGAGGTTTTCCATAGCTTCCTAAGTAAAACATTTGGATTTGGGTGTACATTCATATATTTACACATCTGGGAAAATAGCCTTTTTCTGAGTGTATATTCAATTTATTCCACAAACAGAACAGCACTTCTTAACCCAGCTTCAGGAGCTTGGAATATTATCTTTAACTCCTGCGCGGATGGTCTTTGGAGAAAGAATTGCTTCTCACGATGACAGGTATGAAAGGCTGTTTTCCTTTCTGTGGTGGGAGTGCAATGGTGAGGAGCTAGTTACCTGTTCTACACTGAAAAGATTCACTTGACTCAGGTTTGAGAATTGTAGTATTCATGATCACTGAGGTTATCTGCTTAACAGTCTTTGCTGTATCCGTTTAGGAACATCTCAGAAGAAACTGTTGGGCCAATTTTTGCTTTGTTTGGTTTATGTGGGAATGGGTTTGAATCAGGGCTTTGCATTTGCAAAGCTGGCACTCTACCACTTGAGCCACACCCTCAGTCCATTTTCTCTGTTTATTTTGAAGATGGAAATCTCAAGAATTGTTTGCTGGGGCGGCCTCAAACTGCAGTCCTCCTA